TCATTCCAGATCCCGTCTCGGGGCACATCCTCTGCTTTCTGCTGGTTGCTTATTTGTCTGTTAGTGGTCAGAGGTATCCTTGTAAGTGCCTGGTTCTGAAGAGATGGTTCATATGGAAGAGGTCGATCCATGCTGAGCACTTTATTTTGCTTAAACTCCCTTTGAAAGAGCTGTTCTGTGGGGGAAAGAGCAGTTGTGGTGATCTTCCCAACCATGTTTGGCGTGGTTTTGTGAAATGCTTGCATTCCCTGTGGACTGTAAGTGCACTGCTCTATAAAACACTGCAGAAGAGTTGCTGTAAGTCTTATCCCTTCATCTTGGTGACTTGACGCTCACCCTGGGCTGTTGCACTGCTCACAGGAGCAAGTTCCTCTTAAGCATATTTGCAAAGCCACGTAGTTAAGGGATCTTCCCTGCTCTGCTCAGAGCCTTGGGCAGTCCCAGCAGGTTGCGGTTTGGGCCTGCAGGTCTAGGGTTTGCGTGACTCCAAGCCCCTTTGCAGGTTTTTTGTCGGGACGTACAACGTCAACGGGCAGTCGCCCAGAGGGAGCCTCCAGCCCTGGCTGAGCCATGACATCGAGCCTCCGGACATTTACTGCGTTGGGTGAGTGGGTCTTCCCTGCCAGCCCCCACCCAAGGGTGCATGTGTGTAGCCTAGTGATGGGCAAGGGGGGGTTGAGTGAGCGTTTGCATCATCGACACTGGCTGCTATTCCAGGCCTGTTTGTTCTCCCCAGTGACCCAGTGGGGCTCGGACCCCTGCATGCTCTGCTATGGTTAAATTAGTGTAACACTAATGGGAATTCAGCTTTGCACTAAGCACCTAGTTAGGATTTTGGTTCTTTAACTGATCCATCACACAGTGAATATCTCTCTTCCCTGGAGGAAAAGGCTGGAGAGTTACCAAGCCAAGTGCATACATCCACGGGTTTCTTCCTCTAACTCAGTTTCCAGGAGCTCGATCTGAGCAAAGAAGCCTTCTTTTTCAATGACACGCCGAAGGAGGAAGAGTGGTTTAAAGCTGTAACTGATAGTCTTCACCCCGGTGCCAAGTATGCCAAGGTAAATGTGAAGGGAAGGCTGCCCGATCCCGTCTCCTTGCCTTCGCCTGCTCCTTGCTTGTTTCCAGCCTCCAGACATTGGCAGGACTGGGGTGCCTGCAAGGGCCTGCTCAGGAGGCTTAGTGCCTTTAGGGCTGCCTGCCCCCCAGGCAGGGTTTCAGGCACTGGTCCCTTTTCCAGGGAAGCAGCCCAGTCTCTCCTGTCCTGTGCTGAGCCATGCCATAGAGATGCCCAGGGGTGGCTCCTGCACCCTGCCAGCTTGGTACAGCAGCATGGGGTCTGGTTCATGGCACGCTGCTCCAGGTTCGGCTCCACATGGGGTGAGGGGCCTCGCAGAAGCAGCCCTGGCTCTGGCTCCATTTCCAGGCTTGAATGTTACAGGGATTGTCTTGCAGGTGAAGCTGATCCGGCTCGTTGGGATCATGCTCCTGCTCTACGTGAAGGCAGACCTTGCGCCAAACATCTCGGAGGTGGAAGCGGAGACCGTGGGGACTGGGATCATGGGGAGAATGGTAGGAGGGGCTGAGTAATCTCTTCCCTGATCCCACATGGCAGTGACTCCCTGCATGCCGCTCTCTACTAATTATCGGCTCTCCCCATCCCCCATATGGCAGCAGAAGAAGGTGTAGCTTGCAGGGAGAAGCACACAGCTCCGGGGGCTACCTCCCCGGTGGGTCCCTGCTGAGCGAGACTGAAGTAGGCTGCAGCTTTTCCCATACTAAGTAGATCAGGGGAACCGATGTGACTTCCCTTCCCTGGAGGTGGCTTCCTTGGCCGTCAGGATCACGTGGCCCATCTCTCTGCCCCGGGAACCTCGTCCCCATTGATACTGCGGGCACTGCACGGCACAATCTGCCTTTGTAAGAGGCGGCTCCTGAAGTGGCCGCTGAATTCTTTGCACCTCCGCTCTGTTTCATAGCTGCGCTATGCATGGCCCAGTCCTTGCGGTTCCCATCTAGGGAGAGCTGCAGCCTGGGCTAGGTGAATCCCAGGGCTTGTGCAGGAGTGCAGGGGCTTTGCTGTGCTGGGGAGCCCGCGACCAGCTCCGTTGCCTTCCCCGCAGGGTAACAAAGGCGGAGTAGCGATCAGGTTCAAGTTCCACAACACGGGCGTGTGCGTGGTGAGCTCCCACCTGGCCGCGCACACCGAGGAGTACGAGCGGAGGAACCAGGACTTCAAGGACATCTGCTCTCGCATGCAGTTCTGCCAGGCTGATCCCAGCTTGCCCCCCCTCACCATCAACAAGCACGAGTACGTGTCCAGGTCTCCGTGCCTGCGCCCGCCGGAGTTCGCACTTGCCCTCGGGTTCTGGCGCGAGGGGAGATGGGCTCTGCGCTCGCTGCTGTTAGCCGCGTGCCGGCAGGAGTCTGGGAGGCGCTGGGGTAGCCCAGGCTGGGGAGCCCGGAGCTCCTTGCTCTGACCCCCGCTGCGACAGGCTTTTGATGACTCCCTTGCCTTCCATGTCTCCCTCTTCTCAGCTGTGAAAGAGAGACGACAGCCTGTAACCGTTTCCCCAGAGGGTTTTTGAGGCTTTGCTAGTTTGCTTGGAAGAGCAAAGCCATGGGCTGAGCGCTCAGGTCTGTTCTCTGATTCAGTCTGCTGGCGGCTGCCTCTCAAATTCGTGGGGCTAACAGACAAATTTGTGTGGTTCTCACCTGGACATAGCCTTTCTTGTACCCAATGCTGTGCTTAGTGTGTGAGAGCCTCCATCCATGGTCTCGGGGCAGTCTCTTGCGTGTGACACTAGTGGGTCAATGTGGCTTGCAAATGGGGGAAGCAGGCATGAGTGGGCTGCCCGAGGTCTCTGGGCTAGCAGGGGGCAGAGCTGGAGGCAGGATTTGGGTTTCCAAAGCCCCAGTCCCTTGGAGGGCTGGGTGCTGTGGTGCCAGAAGGGCTCAATTGTGTCTCAACAGCAATTACAATGAACATTTCTGAGGTCTTTGTTTCAAAAGCCAGCAGAGGAAGGGGCTGGATTGGTGGTTCCTTGCGTTTTGCTTGGATTCATACAAGCTGCAGACATGGGCAGAGCTGGACTCTGGCTGCTTTGGGCAGCATAGTGTCAGCCTCTTCATGCTGGCCCCTGCGTGTTCTCTCCTCGCAGTGTGATCCTGTGGCTGGGAGACCTCAATTACAGGATAGAAGAGCTGGACATGGAGAAGGTGAAGAAGCTCGTGGAAGAGAAGGCATTTCTAGCTCTTTATCAACACGACCAGGTACAGATGGGTCTCCCCCAAGCCCCTGCCTCGTGCTCTGGGAGATTCTTCTCCCTCTCTGTCTGCTGATTCCCCTGTAGCCCGTGGCTGCATGGCCGGCCCTGGGTGTTGTTTGTGCTGTGCTCACAATGTATGGGAGACTGCTTTTTGGTGTGATATCTATTCTGTGGACCAGTCTGATAGTATCGGTGCCCCCAGCGCCTGTTTTCAGCGTGGGCCAGAATCATCCCTGCAGCTCAGTCAGCCTCTGCTCACGCGTTGTACAGCAGGTCACCATCCACCCCCTCCTTGATAGAGGTTTGTGGGCAGGGCACCAGGGCTTAGGAAGAGATGCCTTCTCTCTAGGGCATGGGGTAAAAACTGCTCGGAGAGGGAAAGGGCTTGCTAAAGAGGGGCCTGTAACTCCTCACAAAGCTGGCTTGCACAGCATGGTTGCAATGGCAGGACAAGGAGCAATGGTCTCCATCTGCAGCAAGGGGAGTTGAGGGTGGATATTAGGAAAAACTTTCTTATGAGGAGGAGGGTGAAGCACTGGAGCAGGTCACCCAGAGAGGTGGTGGACTCTCCATCCTTGGAGGTTTTGAAGACCTGGGTAGACAAAGCCTTGGCTGGGATGATGTCGTTGGGGCTGGTCCTGCTTGGAGCAGGGGGTTGGACTAGATGTGACCTCCTGAGGTCCCTTCCCTTCCTCAGTTTCTACGATTCTATGAATGGCCTTGGTGAGGTTGACCAGCACCTTTTAGATGAAGTGGGGTGGGGGGGGTGTGTGTGTGTGTGTGTGTGTTTGTGTGTGTGTGTGTGTGCGCGCACTTCCCCAGAAAGTTGTGCCTTTGCCCTTTTTGTAGCTCCAGAAAGGCTTATGATTGCATACATTTCAGTTTCCCGTCTCTCTCGGCTTTCCTTCTGTACTAGCTGAAGAGGCAGATGGATGAGAAAGCTGTCTTTGAAGGCTTCACGGAAGGAGAGATTTCCTTCCAGCCGACCTACAAATACGACACCGGCTGTGATGACTGGGACACTAGGTACGTGAGCTGTGTACAGGTGTCCCCTCCTCTTCATTAGCTCGTGTCCGCGTCTCCCTTGAGGCGGTGAAAACAAGCCAAAAAGGGCCTTAGACCAAACATACTGGAGGAAGGCAAAGCGTTTCTGATGCGAGTCTGCTTCCATGATGAACGTCTCTGGTCTTACTTGTGTGCTGTTTGGATGAATGAGAATCCCGTCTCTAGGTTTGAGGGCACTGGTGCTGATCCCGTCTGGATTTCCCTAACGCTTGCCAGGAATAACATTCTTTGAGATATGGAAGAAGCTTCCTATATGAGGAGCTTGTTTTCGCCCTGTCCAGGCAGGCTTTGGGGGGTTATTTTGGGGGCTGGCTGTAGAATCCCATCTGCCGTGGCCTGGCTGGTCTCGCAGAGCGCTTGCTCACTGCCCGCACACCCAGACATCCCTGGGAAGCTCTTCAGTGGATGCTGTTTGTTGTACTGGGGGTGGTTCTGGCTGGACCGTGGGCGCTGGCCACAAGAGCCTGAATGATTAATTCCGTGCAGCAGTTAGACGTGTCAAGGGGAGAACTTGTAAGTTTAAAATTGGGATTTTAAACTTTTTGTAAAGTTCCTGTGATCAGCGCGGTTCCAAGTGCTGGCTTTCAGGCCGTGTCTGAGGACAGGCAGCCCTGGGCCCTGGTGTGAACAAAGGGGAATGGCGGGGCAGAGATGCCCAAGACTGATCCAAATTACCCTCTGCAGCTTTGCACAAGGATGCTTTAAAAAAGGGATGTGGGTCCTGGGGAAGCCCAGCTCCATCTCTCCCACGGCAGCTTCCCCCCGGCCAGGCCACGCTCTGCCGTGTTGTGTAAACGGTGCTCTTTCTCCTGGGGGAGGTCTCACGTGGGCTGTGCTGTGGTTTCAGTGAGAAGTGTCGTGCCCCAGCCTGGTGTGATCGGATCCTCTGGAAGGGGAAGAATATCACTCAGCTGAGCTATCGCAGCCACATGGCTTTGAAGATCAGTGACCATAAGCCAGTGAGCTCCATGTTTGAAATTGGGGTAGGTGCCTCTCGACTGCTAGCGATGGCCGGGCTAGGTCGGTCCCTCCGATGGGTGAAGTCGCTTCTGCTGCTTCCTTCTCTTCTGCGCTCATGCTTCCTGGAGCTCTGCCCCGATAACTGCGCCGCGCGCGGGGGCATTGTTCTTAGCAGAGCGCCCGTTTGATAACAGCCGGTTGCTCTTGGTAACGCGCAGATGAAATCAGCTGCAAATGTCAGCCAGTGGCTTTTCACAGGCGTTCCCTCGCACTGCACATTTCCGCTGTTTTGCCCGTTTCCCAAGAGACTCGCAGGGCAGGAATGTTTCATTAGCCGACAGGAGAGTAACGAACTGAGGGGCTTTGGAGAGCTCATCCCGGGGCCGGCTGGCTGATTCATTTGCTCGCGAAGGCAGGCAGCGGGGCCCAGGAGGGGACAAATATTGGCTCGTTAGTGCTAGCCCATCTTTTTCTCGTCCTACTGTGAACCTGCTCCTCGCTGATCCGAACGAGTCTCTTGGTGAAGTCTGGCTGTGGATTCAGTTCAACTTCCTTGCAGTAGCAGCTCTGCATCAGTGCTCTGCGTCGCTCTCCGCTCTCCACGCCAGCCCGCTGCCAAGTCAGGTTGCCCCGTAGTCTGCAGGCTAGCTCCTAAGTCTCCAGCAGAGACTCAGCGGGTGCTCTTTGCTGTGTGTGTGTCCCTTTCAGGTGAAGGTCGTGAACGAGGAACTCTACCGGAAAGCCTTTGAAGAAATAGTGCGCTCGTTGGATAAGATGGAGAACGCGAACATCCCGTCGGTGACCCTGTCCCAGAGGGAGGTAGGACGCATTCCTGGGCTTCCCCTCTTGCTTCTTGAAGGGAAGCCTAGGTCCAAGAGGAAGTCCAACAACGAATTGTCAGGACAGGCAGCAGGAAGCCAGGACTCCTCGAGTCTCTTTCCAGGCAGCTGTGTAGCTCGGAGGACAGAGCAGAGGCTGGGTATCAGGGCTTTTTAGTTGTTTCATAGATGTGTGGTGAGGCCTGAGGTGAATCACTGGCCTTTCACCTCTATATTCCCTTGCAGCAAATGGCAGAGATCATGCTAGCCCATCCGACAGACTGGCTCGGTGGTGCTGGACTAGTGCAGGCAACGTGGGATTGTGATTCTTGGGCCCTGGATAAAAGCAACCGTGCAGCGACCCACTACTTCTGCAGGGGGCTGGGCAGGTCCTGAGATGCGGATACTTTCCCAGCAAGGCCCCAACAAAAATGCACAGCCCTGCCATTCCCCAGTCAGGGTAGCGACAGGATCACAATAGCTATCGCTTTGACTTGATTTTGAAAAGCGTACGACCTACAAACCCAAGCTGACAGGGCACGGAGAGGAGTTTCGCTGAGCAGCTGTAGCTGTAGGGTGAGACTCCAGCGGGGCATGGAGAGGTAGCGCCTCCTGCGTGCAGCTCTGGGTTCAGGGGAGGACATGTCCTGAGCATGCACAGCGGGGACACGTGATCTTGGGTCCCGTGAAGGACAGGTGGAATCGCAGTCAGCTTCGGGAGCTGGGTGTTTCATCCGGGTGGTTTGTTAACTACGTGGCAGTGCAGGGAGCTCCGAGGGAAAACCTTTCCCTCCTCGAGGAGGATGTTGCTGGGGGCAGTTGTCTCATGAAGATGATTCAGAAGAGGCTGACCTGGACGTTGTGTGTTCCCAGTTCTTTTTCAAGGATGCGAAGTACATGCAGCTGCAGGTGGAGAAGTTGACCATACGCAACGGACAGGTGCCCTGTCAGTTCGAATTCATCAGCAAACCGGACGAAGACACCTACTGCAAGGAGTGGCTGATTGCAAACCCCTGCAAGGGGTTCCTGCTACCGGGTGAGGCATCTTTCAGAAAGTTTTGCTTCCATGTGCTCGCCCCCTTTGCAGCCACCAGTAACATGCGTTTCCTGGCTTGTTCTCCTTGCTGTCTGGGGCACATCTCGGCCCCTATGCATGTCTGCTGTCTGGAAGGACTTGTTAGTTTAATGTATTTACCAAGCCTGTGTTTCACTTCCCTGCAGACTCTGAGATGACGGTTGAATTGGAGATGTTTGTTAATAAATCAACAGCTACGAACTTAAACTCTGGGGAGGATAAGCTCGAAGACATCCTGGTTTTGCATCTCGACAGGGGGAAGGATTATTTCCTGTCGGTGACTGGAAACTATTTGCCCAGCTGCTTTGGGTCTCCCATCCACACGCTGTGCTACATGAGGGACCCGATCCAGGACATGTCGGCAGAGTCCATCCGAGAGCTGGTGGGTTAGTGACGGGGCTCGCTTGAGGTCTGGTACTTAAGTGTCCCGGCATCTCCTTGTCATATAGCATTAATAAGCATTTGTCTGGGTTTCTTTTCCCTTATCCCGGGATTTATCTACACCGATTACACTGAAGTCCCCTGGTCCCATAGGCCCAGGGACAGTGCAGCTGACCGACATGCCTTTGGTGCTCTAAGGCAGCACCTTCGTGGCTCCCCTCAGCTCTCCATCTTGGGCCAGTTCCCTGTGTAGGAGGGTTTGTGCAGGCACAGGCTGCTGTTGCTGTGCGTCCTGGGTGCTGTCGTCTGCGTGGGCCTGGGTGTTTGCCTGTCCTGTCGGATGCATGGCAAGTGAGCCCATGCCTGGACCAGGCGGCCTTGTTCTGTACTGAACCGTAACTCTGAACTGCACGTCCCGTGGGGCACTTGCCTGCCTTGAATAAGCTGGTTTGCTCCTTTCCAGACCCTGATGCCCCTGCTCGTGAACGGTGAAGCTTTCAAGGGTGAGAAGCCTTTGGATATCCCCAAAGAGCTGTGGATGATGGTGGATCATCTGTACCGCAACGCCTCACAGCAGGTGGGCAGCCTCTGTGCCAGAGACATGCCCTCGTTGCCGATGGGCACCTAGCTAAGCTTTGGGAAAACGTACTGGGAATGAACTGCCTTGGCTGGAGCCCCAAGTGGGAAGGGCTGGGGAGGTAGTGCTACCTCATGGGTGTAACAGGAAAAAGGGGGACAGGCGGTACCATATCTGCTCCCTCACCCTAGCTGCGATGGGGTTCTGTACAAACCACCCTGACGTGCCCAAAGCACCTGTTTCCTGCGTCTGAGCTTTGTGTGGCACCACCGTAGCCTGGGCTTGACCTACAACACACCCGGCACTGCCTGCCTTGCACTCGTCTGGTGGGGGGAGCCATGGCGTGGTCTGTGCGTACCGCGTGGGGAGCCCAAGGCAGCCAGGGAAGGACTGCTTCGCTCCTCGGGGCTCCCTGTAACACTGCGGTGCCCTTGCAGGAGGACCTGTTCCAGCAGCCCGGCCTGCGCTCCGAATTCGAGCACATCCGCGACTGCTTGGACAAAGGCATGCACGACACCCTCTGTATCCTTTGGGGAAGTGTTCGGCGCCGCTGGTTTTGTGTCTGGGGCAGGGAGCAGCTTTCTGCTTGGAGCCGGTAGGGCCCTGTGGGCTCCCTGGCTAACGTAGCCCCCTCATCTCTGGCCACTGAGGTGTGTATCCCTTCAGTAACAGCTGGAACACGTGGCCCTGTTTCTGCCTGGGCGGTGCTCTGGACCAGTGACGGTGCTTGGTCTAGGAATGCCAGGCCGCTGATGGGGTCAGTGTGCTCTGCAGAGCCTCTCCGCTGAGCACAGCCCACCAGGTGAGACCTTGGCAGTAATGAAAGCTGCAGCAGGGATGTTAACAGACCGGATCCAACCCTATGACCTTTTCCTTTAACCATCTTTGGCTCAGTTGGCAGCAACCATTCTGTAGCCGAAGCCTTGCTGCTCTTCCTGGAAAGCCTGCCAGAGCCTGTCATCTGCTACGAGTTCTACGCCCTCTGTTTGGAGAGCGCCAGCAACTACGTGCTGGGCAGACAGGTAACGCAGGGGCTGCCAGGGGCGGACGATTACTCTTCTAAAGCTTTAGCTGGAGTTTGATTATCCTGTGCAGCACCAAAGAATTCACCGTCTCATGGCACAGGGAGGCTCTTAGCACTGGGGCTTTCCTAGTTGTGTGGACTCTTAGGGCTGGCATCTAGAGTGTTATTTCTGGTGCGTGTTTTCACAGCAAGGCGCTCTCTCTCTTTCTAGATTATCTCCAGGCTGCCTGAGTGCCATAAGAACGTGTTCAAATATCTGATGGCATTTCTGCGGGAACTACTGAAAAATTCAGGGAAAAACCACTTGGACACAAACATTCTTGGTGAGGCAAAGACTGTGTCCAGTCGGCTCCCGGGGTGTGCACTGCGCAGCGTGTCATATAACCAGCTGAATGTTTCTCTTAGTGGCTTCTGTTGTTTTTGGCACGCGGTTTGCAATTCTCTGGAATGGAAACTGTGGCCAGAGCAGCAGAAAGCAGTGTGTTTTCTTTCCAGAAAGCAGAAACCCAGCAGTAGGAAGAGTGTTCAGTGTTTCCCAGCAAGGGAAATGTTCCCATGGCCAACTCTGCCCCTCTCAATCCCCCTCCCTTTCTGCAATCAGGACCCCTGTACCACGCATGCCAAGGCTTTGTTTTAGGGGTAATGCCTGATCCCTGGTGACTGACGGGCTCTTCTGTTTTTTGTTTCAATGCAGCTAGTATATTTGGTGGCTTGTTGCTTCACCCTCCTCCTGGCCAGCCCAAGCCTGACATCACTGAGAAGAGGAAGGCCCAGCAATTCATCCATCAGTTCCTCTTGAGAGAAGACAACTTCCCATAGACTCCAGTTGCAGCTAATCTGTTTTTAGATGAAGATATTGAGTTACTGTAAAATATTTTTGTACAGAGTATCAGCTTTTTTCAGGATTTTACAGTATTTTATATAGAGCACAATCTATTATTAAATACAGATCAGACGTTTAGAACCAGTTGTCACTGTATTAACAAACTATAAAGAACACTGAATTTCTAAATAAGCTTGACAGAAACCAGCAAAGACACGCAGGAACTGACATTTTATACCGTATTTTAATTATTTAACTTGTATTAAACTGAGGAGTTTTAAAGTTCCTTTTTATTTATAAAGCGATAGCCATCTTAGTGCACTTTCTCGGCCTGCCCTTCACCCCGTGTCCCTGGTGACAGGCTTGCGCTTCCGGGTCTGTTCATTTGGATTAAATCTCATTTGTTCAACGGCGCGGAGCCAAGCGAGACACGAGCCACAGAGCATTGCCAGGTGTGTCTCAGCCTCTGCACAAGCACGTTGGGGGCTGCAGAGAGCCTCGTTTAGGGCCTTGGTGACGATGCAGAAAATCAGAAGAGAAGACATTAGCAATTCTGTCTCTCTGCATGCAGGGACTGTGAACGTGCTGTAGTCCAGGCCTAAGTGGATTAGCTCCTTGCCTGAAGATGTTCATGATGCTGCCAGGGCAGTGACCGTTGGCAAGCCCTGTGACCTGAGATGGCACTGCAGGGACTCTGTGCATACGGTGCCCGTGACACCTTGGAGGTGAACTTGCAGTATCGGCTAGAACTGTTAAGCTTTGCGCAGTCTGGTTTAAACGTCGGCGAACTAGGCAGCAGATTCCAGCGTACTGTGCCTAGCCAGGACTTTCTGTTGTGTAATTCTATTTTGATGCTATAAATCTATTTTAACAGTGGTTGCAGCGAGTGCTTGTCACGCTTCCTCCTCTGTGGGTGCAGCTTCTTCCAGTGGTCTGTGTAACGTGGTTGTCCAGTTCTGCTGTGGTTTGGAGTTAATGTTTTCTCCACCTTGTGACCTTCCCCTTCTAGATGCCATTTCCCCTGAGCATACGTTAGTTTGAGGAATTCCTCGTCCTGCTGGTGTTTTCACAGCTGTGTTTACACTTCTCTCAAAGAGTAAGACTCGGGGAAGCCTGTACTTTGTTACCTGCGTAGGCCAACTTCACTGTTTCACTACCGCGCTAACGCCTTGCTAGCTCATGCTGGTGGCGAATTTGGCCGAATGTTTCTAATACGGCTGCACAAAATGTGGCTTATGTTTTTAAAATACAAGTCTGCCATCTCCCTCTTCTGGAGACTCTGCCGCACGCACAGTCTCACTCAAATGATGCACATTCCTCAAAACTGCTTTTTAACCTGCCTACGGCAAGTTCTACCGTAAGAGCACTTAACAGCTTTGCGGTTGAATATCCAGGAAAGACCGTTTCATACTTAAAAATATAAATACATATATTCAACGTTTTTTTAGAGAACCGTGTTTCCATTTTCAGGAAGTTTTTAAGGAGGCAGTGTCGCAACTTGTAGCTGCCTTGATTGCAAAACTTCCTCCTACTGTCAAGCCTACGCAGAGAATCACAGAAAAGCAAGACTGGAAGTTCTTTCTTGTATGCATCCTAGGTCTTCCCGGCTACAATTTAAGGCATTGCTCCTTGTCCTGTCACCTGTGGCCACAGAGAATAAGTGGGCTCCTTCCTCTTTATTAGCACCCTTCAGGTTCTTGAAAGCTGTTATCAAATAAGCCAAAAGTGAAAGAATGATAACGCATCTAAACGCAGCGCTCTTCAAATTCATAAGGAAAAAGTCTTGCAGGCAAACCACCAAACGGCTTGCTGGTTGCCCATTTTAATGACAAGTTTTCTGTAGGTTTTCAGTCGTGTCGTTCCTCTGACGTTTTAGGTTTTTAAACTTGGAATTCTCTATCAGGTTTGGTTTTGGTTTTTGTTGGGTTTTTTTATAGGAAAAAACATACTAGGCACATGTAGAGTTACAATAAGGAGAACAGAGCATCACTGCAGAGCACTTCATACTATTGCTGTACTGCCCGAGAGCTTATGCTCTTTCAGCACAAGACTGGAAGTGCTGAATTCAAGCCTGAGTGGGACATATGGAGCTGCCGTTTCTTGCTGATCAAATGTGTCCGGTTAGCTTATGTAACCGGCCACCCCCCAAAACATTTGGTGCCTTGGTGTATGTTGATGGGGAGTGGGGAAGAGAGGGGAGGCCCCGTTCCCTGCCAGCGTGTGCATCTTCTGTCGCAGGGCATAGCGTAATGATGAATCTCAGGGCGGCTGCTCAAGTGTGGATCGGTACCGAATTGTCAGCCGTCACAGCTGGTTTGGTCAAGAGCAGCCACCATTAGTCTCTTTGCAGGCTGCTCTTTGGGAAAGACCCATATGAAAAACACTCCGTGCAATCGTGCCGGCATTTAAATACGCTCTCGGTTCATGCTTCGGTGCTCAGCGGCTGGTGTGTTTTGCACGCGCTGGGACGCCTGTTCGTGGCAGCTGGTTGTACGGTGGTAGCAGACGTGTAGGCAGGCTGGTGATTAGGAGTTTAACTTCAGCAGCAGAAGTCCTGGATATCTTGGAATTGGCCAGCAGAGGGGGATGACAGGCTGGAAACACGTTATCGTGTCTTCCCCGGTGCCTGGATGATGCCTTTCCCTATGCTGTGCCTTCCTTGCAAAACCAAAAGAAGTAGAGGAGCTCGGGAGCTGCTCTGCTCACATTGTCGGTCTGTAAAGGGACATGCAAAACCTATCGGTCCGTAGCAGAGCTTGTGTTCACAGGCAGCGTATGGATGACCCAGAACCTGGCCCACTCCTCTGGTTTCCATGCTGAAAGAGCTTAAGCTCCTGGGCAATACAGCAATAGCATTAAGGGCTTTGCTAATACCAGTGCCAGGGTCAAGGTGCAGCTGCCCGCAGACACGCACCAGGGCAACACGTTTAATTGCCAGCTCAGGGGAGAAAGCGAGAGGCCTGATAGAAGGGCTGGTGTTGGAAAGCAGCTTCCACAGCTACAGCGAGACCAGGGCTTAAAGTTAATCCTGAAATGAATGTCTGCAGGATGCCCGCCAATGGATTTGGGAGTATCTGAAGTGCCAGACTGAAAAGTTGGGGTGGAGGATACTTGCCGGTTGTAGCACCACATATGGCATTTGAACGATTGAGTTTTGCTCAGTCAAAAGGATCCGGGACTGATTTGGCTAATGCAGCCTGGAATATGAAAAATCTTCCGAAGAAAAAAAAAAAAAAAAGTGCCTGGGTGTGCTTTTGCTTTATGTACCAGGCATTTGGGTCTTCCCGTCGTTCCAAATGTGCTAGTACAGACGGGCAGTGTGCCCCGTGCACTGTGAGGCCTCAGCCCTGCAAGCTCTTTTGTCGTTCCAAATGTGCTAGTACAGATGGGCAGCGTGCCCCGGGCACTGTGAGGCCTCAGCCCTGCAAGCTCTTTACTGCAGACGGGCAGTCCTGCTGCGTGAATAACAACCCAGTAAGTCGGCCGAGGCTCTTCAGCAAGAAATGCAACATCTCCCCCCACCAGTTCCTGGCCGGTCAGCGCCTGCCCCTGCCCTGCCTTCCTTTTCCCTTCTGCTTTTCCTTCTGAGCCCTGAAATGAAAAGATGGCCAGATGGTCAGTGACCTGGGCATTGGGGAGAACCGCAGCTCTGCAGACAGCCTGGCATTTTGCCCAGGCAAAGTGGCGAGTTGCAGGATCCCCTCCGCGGTCTATGCAGTCGGTGCCAGCTTCTGTTAACCCACTTTTTCCATTGAAATTTCAGTGCCTGTCCGTTACGGCAAGAGGAAGCTCCTTTGACTCGTTACCTAAAAGCAGCTCAGTCTTTTGGACTCCAGGATCTCTCAAGGCCCCTTCCAGCTCTACTTCGCTATTTTTACAAGCCCCACTCTGAGACTGCTAGTGCCTGGAATAGCACCCGTCTCCCTGCCCTGAAGCTGTAAGCGCTGGTGTCAGTGGCCTTGCCCTGTGTACAACATTGTCCCCCGGTATTTAAAGAGGGGAAGCCAAATAGTCTGAAATCTAGGTTAGTTCCCAGATCCATCCAACAAGATCCGAACTTCACAAAACTCGCCTCATTTCTCTGCGTGTGCCTCTCTTCGGAGTAACTCTAGCTCCGTTCGATGCACAAGAACGTGCAGAACGCCGCGGTTCACGAAAGGGCGTTGGCCGGTTGCCGGGCATGACGAGGATCGGGTGAGTCCAATGAGCATCCGACGAGGTTCTGCAGAAAGCAGTCGCTGTGACGCATTCGGCAGGATTCCTTGCGTGCTAGAAAGGTGATGTGACCAAACTTTGCTAAGAAATATCATGGCATGGCTTGGCCAGCTTTGACAGTTGTGCAAGGAAAAACTTCTTTGCAAGGATTTGTAAGGTCCCTGCCAGCTCCTAACAACTATGGCACGATGACTCGATATACTATGGACTTTGTAGACATCACAAGCTGCCTGTTTCTGGTTCCCGCGATGGATGGGAACTGCAGCATTCCAGACACAACGCAAGGTCGGACGTGGCAGACGTGGCCTGGTCAGGGCTGCCAGCCCTCCAAGATTATCCTGGAGTCTCCAGGAATTGGATACAAGTCTCCAGGAGACTGCTGAGAGTCAGCTGGGAGATAAATGATAGGGCATTCATTAAAATAAATATTAAATGTTGAATCCAATGTATACAGTAATTCAATGGGTTTTTAAAATGTAATAGTAATGTGCATTTACCTTCTTGACATAAAGTCTATGCACTGTAATCCCTAACTGATACAGGCAAGCAAGCACATGGGCACGTTGGTGTTGTGTCACGGGCATGTCGGCGTGGTGCGTCAAATGTAATAGTAACGTGCCTTTGCCTTCCTGATGTAAAGTCTATGCACTGTAATCCGTAATTTATACACAAGCGCGTAGGCACGTTGGCATTGTCTCTTGCGGGCACGCTGGCATTGCCTCTTTAGTCTACTAAGTACACTACAGTGCACCTGCCTTGCACTTTTAACCCCCCCCAAAAAACCCAGCAATGGCTGATGGTGAGGGCCCTTCTAAACAAAACAGCTCCGCAGGTACCGTAAAAAAAAAAAAAAAGAGTTCAGTGAATGAGGTTTTGCTGTACCCGTCATTTTATAATGGTATTAGGATGTTATTTAATGTTCTGTATTTTTAAATGAATACACACAGACCCACAAACATTTAAATGCTTACTTACAAGCAAAGTATCCCGAATTGAATCTCACTTTTTAAAAATATGATTCACGTTACTGAATCTTGCTTTTTAAAAATGAGCTACGTTGCTGAACGTCGCTTTTTAAAAACAAGTCACATTGCTAACTCTCACTTAAAAAAATACGACTCGCGTTACTGAATCTTGCTTTCTAAAAGCTGAGCTGTATTCCTAAATCTCATTTTTTTAAAAAATGAGTCGCGTTCCTGCATCTCGCTTTTTAACAATACAGCGCACATCACACGTTGAGATTTTGCAATGTTGTTTATTTATGCGATGCGCTTAAAATACGAAATGGTTTTCATCATACGCTCCTTATTCCCACCGAAGAGTAAAGTGGGGTATGGTGAAGGGTTTCCAAAACCAGTTGTCGTGGCAGGTGGAATACATTCAGTGTTGGCAACCCCGCGGGAGATTTCCAGGGCTCCGGATGTTGCTGACTCGCGAGTTCCCGTAACAGCTAGCAAATTGGTGGAGCCCTGCAAGGTGCAGGGGTAGGGGGGGAGCGACCGGAGCATGCTGGGGGGGACACTGCACGACCTTCAGATCCCCGGTGAGGCTGGGGGAGCTCACAGCGACGTACCCCAGGTGGCAGATTATCCTGACAAGCAGGTAAGGGGAAGTTTTCCCTCGGAAGGCTGCTGTTCCTTGGTGTTGGTGGGCCCGGAGGGGCCTGTTTATGTTCGGGCTGCAGTTTGGCACCGCTGCACCAGTGATGTGGGTGGGGACTGTAAGGGGTGGTGCCCGCAGGTCCCATTAGTGCCCTGGGGGCAGCGGTTGCTTTGGGTGCTGCCGGGGGCAGGCTCCGGCTCGAGTGAGGGTTGAGCCCCGAGCAGGGCAGAGCACAGATTTCAGACCTTGGGGCTAGAAGGCCATCGGGTCCAGCCCCCCGCCCCAAGGGCAGGCAGTCAGCAGGGGACAAATGACCCCAGCAGGATAGGCATCCAAGTGGTTCTTAAAGGGATCCAGAGCAGGTGCCTGCACCCCTGGAGGGAGCCTATTCCAGGCCCTGGGCCCTCGGACAGTAAAGTTTGCCTTATGTCCAGCCTGAAACTGTCTTGCAGGAGTTTGTGACCGTCTGTCCTTGTTGTCCCTTGGGGCGCTCTGGTGAACAAGCGTTTCCCCAGGTGCTGGTGCACACCTGTAGATACGTACAGGCTGCCACCAGGTCCCCTCCGAGCCTGCGCTTCTCCAAGCTGAAGCGTCCCGTGGCGCTCAGCCTCTCCTCGTAAGGCCTGTTCTCTTGTGCTCTAATCGTGGACTCTCGAGCTTCTCCACATCCTTCCTGAACTGCAGAGCCCAGGGTGCTCCAGCTGCGGCCTCACCACGGCCGAATACAGCGGGAGGACGACTGCCCGGGTCTTGCTCGAGATGCAGCGGTAGATGCGAGCCCGCGTTTTGCTCGCTTTGCCGGCTGCAGCGTCGCAGCGGTGGCTCACGTTCATCTTGTGCTCAACAGTGACCCCCAAGTCTCTTTCAGACGTGGGGCTAGCGAGCGTAGCATGGCCGAGCCCATACGTGTGGTGTGCGCTCTGTCTCCAGAGCATTTCTCGGTGTTGAATGCCATTGGGTTTTGATCTGCCCAACTTGCAAGTCTTTCGAGGTCGGTCTGGATTGCCAGCCTATTCTTTGGGGTGGCTGCACTTCCCCGTAGCATGAGGCAACAGAGCCACACAGGGGTGCAGCTGGGCAGGGGCCAGGGGTGCAGCCAGGCGAGGGCCAGGAGGAGGAGGAGGAGGTGGTGGGCGGGACATGCAGGGGCGGGCGCAGGCCCCAGGGGGCGCTCCAGCGCTGGCGCCGCTGCCGGGCGGGGGAGGGCAGGGGAGCAGGCCG